CGAACCCGCGGGCTCAGGCAATCCACTCACCTCAGTCTCCCAAAGCGCTGGGATTACAGCCTGAGCCACTGAGCCTGGCTCTTTCTTCTCCTCTTAAGTGAGTCCTGAGATGGCAGAGGCCGCTTGGCAATCTCCACCCGCTTCCTGGGGCTGTGTGCAGGCTGGTGCATTGAGCCCACTGTGGGGGAGGGGGACGGGGATATGGTAATGGAGGGCCAGGAAGCACTTACCTTGGGTGGCCAGGGCTCTGGGCAGGCTGTGGGCCAGTGCCAGGAGCAGGGACAGCAGCGGGAGATGTGGGAGCCAGGCCATGCCCCCCACAATCCGCCGCCCCGACGCAGCCAGAGCGGCGGGGCCTCTCCTTGTCTGCAGGACTCACTGCTTGCCGCTGGGAGGCACCCGGAAACCTGATGAAAGGTCAGAGCACCGGACAAGGAGACCCTGGGAGGGCATCCCAGAGGCGGTGCCTCAGACCAGGGGGTGATACTTTGACCAGGTGGGAGGGGCCACTCTCATCTACCCTCCCCAGCTCTGCTCCTCTGAGGGCTTCTCTGGCAGGCTGCTGGTTATCCTGGTCCCTGCCCCCACATCCCCACAGGGGACATAAGGGGAGAGGAGAGAGGAGGGGCTGGGGCAGGACAAGAGGACAGACAAGGGGCCCCTGGGTGGGGGTGGGGGTCAGGATCTGGAGGTGAGGGAGGCTCAGCTGTTCTGATCTTCTGGGTCACCTGCTGGGACCTGATAAAAGCCCAGAAATCTGGCGTGTTATCTGTCAAGCACCCACACAGTTCTGGCTGACCAGGCTGGGCCCTACCTGGTGTGGCTGTGGGGAAGAGGCCTTTGCCTGTGCCCAGCCTGCAGCTGCTGGGTGTCTTGAATTCTGCTTCCTTGGAGGAGATGGGGAGATGGGGCTAGAGACAGCTGGACTGAGGGGTCCAGGCATTAAGTCCCCTCCTCCCAGGGCAGTCCAGATTCCTGGAAGGAGAGTGCCAGGCCGCTGAGTGCCAGGCTCAGCTCCTGGGCACAAGGAATCCCCAAGCCTGGCCCCTGGATCAGGGGATTGCCTCTGCAGGGCAGATACTGGGCAATCAGAAGGTGCATTTCTCTGTCCCGGGGCCTCCCACCATAATGAAGATGCTTTGACCTTAGTGCCCAGAGCTGACATGTGCAACACATGTGCAGTGTGTATGTGCAGGTGCATGTGAGCAGGTGTGTTTGCACAGGTATGTGTACAGAGACAACATGTGCTCATGACTCACACATGGATCTTGAGCCCTGAGCTGTTTCCTCCCTGGGAGTCGCATCCTTGGTAGCTGGGGAAGTTCCTTGTGCCAATGGGTTTGAGGTGCTGAGATCTAGGTGGGCTATGGGGTCCTGCAGGTTTAGTCTGTGGGGCTGAGGGTTCTGGCCAGGCTGGTTTCCAACTCCCAGGTGCTCTATAAAGGAGGGATGTACCATTTGGGGCAGAATCTGGCCAAAAGGCCCTGGGGCATCCTACAGAGATTTGGTGCAAAACAACACTGGCTTTCTGAAACAATCCCTGCTCTGTCTCATGGCACGGCTTATTCATTCCTCAACATTTACTGGATGTCTCTATGGCTAGCCCCTGTGCCAAGAGCAGAAGGCAGAGGAAAAGGGCCCTGTTGCCTGGAGCTGACCTCCAGTGAGGCCAAATGGACAGCCAGCAGGACACAGGGTAGGGTGAAGGTAGGGTGGACCTGAAATGCCAAGTTAGGAAGGTGCCAACAGAGCAAACAATCGCAGTCCCTGGGGAACAGGTGCAGGATTCAGCAGGTGTGGAATCCCTGAGGCCAGAATGTGCCTGGTATGTCTGAGGACAGCAAGCGGAATGTCTGAGGACAGCAAGGGGACCAGGGTGCCCTTGTCCCTGGGGAGACACACACACACACACACACACACACACACACGGGGGTGGAGAAGGGCATTGTAAGGACCTAGAACTAAACATCCATTAGAGAAAACCTTGAAAATGCAGATAAGCAGCGAGGAGAAAATGAAAACTGTCAGGGCCTCCCTCCCACTCCATATTTTCTCCCGGGTCTCCAGCCTGGGTCTCCAGGGGCATCAGCTGCTTCCACCAGAGCATCCATATTCAATGGACTTTGACATACCCCTAGATATGTCACCACTCTCTAGATTGTTTTAGACAAGACATGGTGGATCCTTGAGGCCCCCATGGTGGTCCAGGTGCCGTTCCCACTGCATCCGACAGGTGGGACTTGACCTGACAAAGCCCCAGACCCAGCATCGACATGAACCTTAGTGATATGAACTTTCGTTTAGCCCAAGAGACACGTATGCCCCTTCTTGTTCTTGGCCTCTGGTGATTTTCGCAGTGGGCAAGGACTTCCCGTGTCTTCATCTCTAGGACACATAAGTAACGGTTTTTTTTTTGAGTTGGAGTCTCACTCGGTCACCCGGACAGGAGTGCAGTGGCCGCTCCCGGCCATTGCAGCCTCGCCTGCTGGGCTCCAGCGATCCTTCCGCCTCAGCCTTCTGAGTAGCCGGAATTACAGGCACACACTACACGCCCGCCTGATTTTTTGATTTATTGTAGAGATGAGGTCTCGTTGCCCAGGCGGGTCTTGAACCCGCGGGCTCAGGCAATCCACTCACCTCAGTCCATAAGTAACTTTTAAGTGCTTAAAGATAAAAGCTTTTTAAAGATTTTCTGTTTTTCACTTTTTAAAAAGTTGTATTTTCCAGCTAATTAGGTGGTTTAGTTTTTTTTTTTTTTTTGAGTTGGAGTCTTACTCTGTTGCCCAGACTGGAGTGCAGTGGCATGCTCCTGGCCACCACAGCCTCGACCTGCTGGGCTCCGGCGATCCTTCTGCCTCAGCCTTCCAAGTAGCTGGAACTACAGGTGCGCGCTACCACGCCCGGCTAATTTTTGATTTATTGTAGAGACGAGGTCTTGCCTAGTTGCCCGGGCGGGTCTCAAACCTGTGGGCTCAGGCAATCCACTCACCTCGGCCTCCCAAAGTGCTGGGATTACAGGCTGAGCCACCTAGCCCGGCCATATTCTTCTTTTTTTTTTTTTTGACTCAGAGTCTTACTCTAGTTGCTCAGGCTGTAGTGGCACGCTCATGGTCACTGCAGCCTTGACCTGTTGGGCTCAGGTGATCCTTCCACCTCACCCTTCCAAGTAGCTAGAACTACAGGTGTGTGCCACCATGTTCAGCTAATTTTTTGGCTTATAGTAGAGATGAGGTCTTGCCATGTTGTCCAGGTTAGATTCGAACCCATGGGCTCAGGCAAAAAGTGCTGGGATTACAGGCATGAGTCACTGCGCTCAGCTGTTTTATTCTTTTTTTTTTTTTTGAGTTGGAGTCTCACTCTGTCACCCAGACTGGAGTGCAGTG